ACCATCTGATGGCGACCTTATAACAAGGGTCAATGGGAGGGAATCACGGGCATTGGCCAATCATTCCAATCGAGGTGCATCCCAGCGCTAGGCTACGGCTATGGTTAGCTGGGTTTAGATATTTGTATATCTCCCAAAAACACACACACACGTCATTGTTAATGGGTTAACATTAACCCATTAATTAATTAATGGTTAATTGTCAATTGTCATTGTTAGTGTTGTTAATTGTTAACACACACACACACACACACACATAGAAGGCAACAGGGTCGGGCATGGACAGGCAATGCCCGACCAAAAATTTTCACCGGAAATGAAAATTTAATTAATGACATCATTTATTAGTCATGAATAATTACCAAAATACGCGCAAACAAAGTGGGTGTGGTCAAAATTGCGGCGCTCTTCGCAAGCCATTTTTTGCCAGACTACTCTTCCAGTCCTGCCTCCGCCTATGTACACACGCGCGCACACACACACACACACATGTCATTGTTAATGGGTGTGGTTATTTTATTTATTAGTTCTGGCAGTGTATAAAGAAACCTGAAGCAATAGACCAATGGCCAGTGGGTAGATTTGCTCATGCAGGTGCTATTATTGTAACTGGATCAGACTGTCCTATGCTAGTGATAAGTGGTGGGATGGATAAGAATAAAGATACATTAGATGATTGTTGGATCTTTAACATCATTCAACATTCCTGGATAAAGGTATGTACAGTGAGATACATGTAAATTATTAATCTATTTCTATTAACAGTTAGCTGTACCTCACTCTGTTAGTAAGAGATGTGGTCATTCTCTCTCAGTGTTCATTATGAGTCCTCATTGTGTCTGGATAATAACTGCTGGAGGAGCTGTTCATAACGGACCAGTCACTAATCCTAACATTGCTATGGTAACTGAACTAGGTCAGTGTATGATTTACATATGAACATACAGGTATTATAGTAATGTTAATATTACACGATTTAGCTCACTGTTATTATGTGATTTTTCCTTTTTGTTTTATAATCATTAGTTCTTGACAGTAATGGAGGGTGTCTGGTTGGTGATACATATGATTCTAACTTGATGACTAGTGAAGAATACAAGAAGAAGTATCAGCAGCAACTACAGACAGGAAGAAGAATATGGTTGGAGGAGTACCAGAAACCAAGAAAAGGAGATACAGCCAATATTGAGCAAACTGTACAAACTCTTATGAAGAATCTTGAAGCGAAACAGAAGGAATTAGAAGAAAGTAAGAAAGAAGCACAAGTTTTTCATCAGCAGATGGAACAGAAGGAAAGAGAAGAAGCAGAGAAAGATCAAGAAATAAGAAGATATCGTCATCAGCTTCAAAAGAAGGACAGGAAGAATCAGGAGGCACTACGACAAAAGGATATTGTGATACTTGAGAAGGATAGGGAGCTACAGGAGAAGGATAGGGAGCTACGTGAGTCTCAAGATCACTGGAGTATTAATAAAGATGAGGTGACTTTGATAAAGGAGGAGTTAGGAAGAGGATCTTATGCTGTCGTTACAGTTGGTATCTTTAGAGGTTTAAGAGTAGCTGTCAAGTCACT